CTACAACATCCCCACCAACAACACCAACATCACCAACGACGCAAACACACCTCGCTGGGATCGGCCTTGGTTAGCTTGACGCCGTCGACCCACTCGCTCACGAGAACCCTCCTGGTGGACAGGTCCAACAACACGTCGGGGACGAAGACCTGCCCCTTCATGCCCGACAGCACCTTCTTCATCCGGATCTGGTTGTTGGCCTCGTTCAAGAAGTCAAGCTCCTATGCATATGTTCGGGGAGGTACGGCGAAGGGGGGGCTTAGTGCAAACAAAGAGCGAGAAACAAGTTTCAAACATTTGTTGGCTATAAACCCAATGGAACGGGGGAGAGATATCGTGAAGGAAGGACAAAGAAGGAATGGAAAATGTAAATATTGGCTTAAAAAGGTTCACTAGAGGGGTAAACAGTGCTCATTGAAGAGCGGGCAGAAGATTTAGGCAACGAAAATATTACATACGGGGACGCCTGCATTACACCATGACACGGATGCAGGCAAAAGTTGGTGACTGCAACAGGCAGAGCACCCCAGCCTGCTGTCAATTTGAAAATACTCACACAGCAGTTTCACCCTCTAGCCAATTCATTACGGTGTAAGGATCGCGACGAGAGTTGTCGGACCGAAAAATCGCGAGAAAAACACAAACCAGTTCCACCTATGCCCACAACGCGAAAAGACAAGCAAGTTTTCTGTCACAGATATCACCAAAGCATCACGTGCTTTTCCCACCACCGTGCAAACGTGACAGAACCAAACTCATCTTGAACATTCATTTTTTGAGCGCCCGGCTCTGAGAAAACACGCAGTCAATACAATATTATTCAGATCTTGCAACCGATTTCCCTCCGATGTGTGTAGACATAGTGGGGTCCTCATGTCGACTCGAAAAAGACGAAACAAAACAAACAAAAGCAAGCAAATAGAGAAATCACATAGACAGGTCAAGAAGGAATCATAACAGGACACACGCTGACCTGAAAAAAACGAGAGAGGACGGTTTTTGCCAAAAAAAAAAAAAAAAACTTGAAAAAAAACTACCAACACAAGGAAAATCGCAGCAGTAGCAGCCGAACAGTGGGACTAATGAAACGAAACAACGGACTAATGAACCGAAACAACGGACATCTCGCGGACCTGGTAGAAACCCGTGGCCCACACTCGAAGCAGTTCGTTGTAGTCCGTCATCTGGGCCGTCCACCTTCCGAAGAAAGCAACGAGACCACGGGAGCTAATTGGTTGACGGATGGATCACACAGGTAAGAATAGCTCACGCTCAACACACCCGACGAGTCGATCATTGCGGGGCAACAACTTTTCCTTCCCAAGCAGTTGGATTCCTGCGATGGCGTGGATTTTCTACTGCAGACGGATGTGGACGTTAACCTTTTTTTTTCGATACATTTTGGTTTTCTTGTTCCGTTTGGAGTCTTATGTGATGGAGTTGGAATGCAAAACTGGCATGCTGGACATTGCGGAGTCACGCCTGATTGTTGCGCTGCTGTCGGGAATCATGGGGGGGGGGGGGGGGTGGTGTCCCCCCCAATAAAACAAGCAGCATTTTTGACATCGGGTTTGGTAAATCCTGTTTTGGATTTTCCGCGGTCGAAAGGGGGGTCTACCCCCAAGACGGGCCCCCCTTTCCCAGCCTTCAGCCGGAACAACTTCTCCGGGTCCAAGGGGAGCAGGAGTGCCCCAAACCAG